AAAAATAATCATCATAGCAAAAAACGGTTTTCGGCATTTTACTCCTCAAGTCAAGGCCTTTCCAATGACATAATCTTTACATCAGATTTTACAAAAAATATAGCACGTTTTGGTGACGTAATCAGTTATGACGTCATAATCTGACATTTTGTCACAACTTCTAAATTAAAATAAACTGGAGAACAAAGAAAGCTCATCTGCTAAACTTGGTTCAGAAATATATAAACCATGCAAATATAGCCTTCATGAAACATTAGGGGGGTGGTTTGGCCCCTACGTGCTTGTTTAGTTCTCCTTAGACTGATTGTTTTCAGTGACGACCAGCAACAAGGTAGATCCATTAAAAAGGCAAAACAAATGCCACATAAAAGCTATGTTGGACAAAATTGTGCAGTATTCAGCCAGTGCAAACAGGGTGTACACTGTAGAGATACAGCTATTGTTAAGAAAAACTAACTGCAGGAAGAGTAACCTTCAAATACAATAAAACTGAAGTCAATTTTACTGTTCTAGTCATTTTTGTGGCGCAGTGACCCAGAACAATTGTATTTTAGACCAAGTAGTCTTGCTGGGTTTCAGCCCTAGATTAAGAAGGGTCTATGTGTCCACTCTCGGCAAATGACACTTACATTCTTGTACAAATTAAACGGATTGAGGCACTTGACAAGTAGTTACTAAAAATTGAAATCATACGAAGCCTTTAGTTGGGCCAGACAGACTCGCCATTTAATTAACTTTCAAGTGCACGTGTAACTCTTAGAAATAATGAAAAGCTTGCACTGACTTGCAATTCCGTTTGGCTACCTAGACACTTTCCCCCCGTGCCTCATGCCGCAAGGGAAGAATACATAAATTAATACATCGGTACGTGAAATTACCCCTCAATGACCTAGCATCTCATTCAGAGGGGGTAGGAATTCCCTAGCCGCTTCATGCTACAGAAACTGAACGGTGTTTGGTAGTCAGATATAGTTTCAGATCCGAGATTACGAAGTCTTTCCAGTTGCGCTAGCAAATGAAGGCTCGCGCTATTTTGAGAAAATTTTCAAATATCACTCGAACGATTAGCTATACTAATTCCAACCGACATGTTAAGAACATGTTGTTGTAGTACAGCTGAGTGTTTGTAAGAAAGTTCAAAAGGATACTTCCTGGTTCACAGTACCATTCATGTCTAAAGAAAAAGTACATCGACAGACCAAACGAGCAATAGTTGAAGAACATAATAAATATTTTTCTTCTGAATAATGTGTAGTCCTGTGAACAAAGAATAGAAAAGGAAACGTCATTTAAAGCAAACACTGAAGCCAGGCTGAGTACAGTTGAATCCCGCTATTTCGACCTCTCAGGGGAATTACGAAAAATAGTTCGAAATAGCGACAGTTGGAAATAGCCGATAATAAATGACTGGAGGACAAATCCAAGAGAAATTATTTTGAGTTCAAAACAATTAATTTCAGGGGAATTCGAAATAGTAGAGTTTGAACTGGTGGGGTCCATCCGTACTTTTTTTGGCATTCAGTCCCCCACTATTCCTCAAAGAAAATTCTCTCGCAACATTGGCCCACAACATCATCTACGCTGACGGGCTGGAGTGTGTCCATAAAATTAGATAGTTTTCCAGCAACATAAGTTTGAAATGTAAATGTCTACTGATAACCGTAAGATCACCACTTTACGTCATTGGCCTGGAATGTGTGTGCAGGAGACCTGGACACTGGGGTTATCGCAAATCATTGTTTTCGCAGAGAGCTGAATAATAATATTGGCATCATGCCACTGTGAGCCTGAAATGTGAGCTTGTAGGGCTAAAAATTTAGACGTTTCAGTACCCAGTTTAACTCATTAACTAAGTTTGTTAACTAGTTTGTTTTATACCTCAGTATTCATTGGCTTGTTTGCAGTCAACCAGAATAAAATACAAGACAGCAACATGTAGAGCATAGCACACACCGTGAAGACAACGAAAGAACATTCATGGACAACTGAAATAAATTTAAAAAATAATAATAAAATAAAGAGGGCACATATTACTTGTCATTCAGCTCAAAGAGCCCGATGACTTTGGAAAAATCACCATTTGTACCTGTAACATTGCGGCCTTTTAAAATATCTTACCAAGGTTATCTGTTGAAGAGATGTAACCAACTGCCATAAGGGCTACATTCTCCACTACTTGTGAGATACAGTTTAGAAGATTGAGTGGCCCAAACCACCACGTTGAGCTGTACTGCGTGCCTAATGGTGTATTCTTATAATATTTATCAACCACTGACGAGAAAAGTACGATTCGCGGCAGACAATGTACAGCTACTGTAGTTCTCCAGATGAACCTCTCAGGCATTTCTCCTCCTATCACCGCACTTATCGATGGTAAATAGTTTGGAACCTAAAAGAAGGAAAAACAAAGCAACGTTAATATGAAAAGATTAAAAGGTATATTAATGTTGTTTCAATGGAGAAACTGTCATTTTAAATAATATATCTTTTAATCTTTTCACATGGGTCAGAAAAGTGTTTGGAGAAACTGCCATTTTCAAAATCTCATCAGTCAAACTTCTTTTTCAAAACAATTTTGGACAAGCTTTCATTGATTAGTAATCCATACCCGACTAAGGTCAATGGTGAACCAATGAGAAAACACTGACGTCATATGAAAACCGGTCAAAGGAGTCTCTGATATCGGCTGGTTCGTAACTGACAATGTAAACATGCTCTAGCTGGACAAACAAAAATAGTGAACATGTGTTCAGATATAAACTGATGGATAAATTCTGTAAAAAATCTATCTCAAGTTTACGTAAGTGATTCAGCTAGAACTGAAAGAACTTTGGAAAAAGCAAAGGTATTGCTTTCCGAGTTAAACTCTGTTGTAAACATGGTGGCCAGAGCGAAAATATCCTAGAGTATTCTGCGTGCAAGCCTCGACTACGAAATCGTAACGTCATGCATAGAATCCAAGAGTATTTAGTTAAGGTGCACGCCATACGCGATGAACAGCGGAAGCAGTCAAGAGTATTCAAAGGCGTGCGCACGCAGAATTTGACGTAACCTGGAAGATTCAAGAGTCGTTCAAGCAACTGCGCACGGAAAAGGTGACGTGCACCTGGAATATTCAAGAGTGTTCAAGGATGCAGGCCTGACGTATTCAAGTTCAATTTGGAAACTCTTGCAGTCGGAATCAAAATAGGCTATTTCAGGTGTATTTCGAGTCAGAATATTTCGGTATACTTGGTATGCGCCGATCCGTATTCAAGTGATTTGGGGCCAGAATATTTGGTCTTAATCTGCGCAATGAGTTTTGCTAAAATATTCATGCGTCGCAAAAAAAAAAAAATAATAATAAAGGAGAGAGAAAAGAGGCACTCCACTGTTGCTTCGAACGGAAACTTTGCTGGTTTTAAATTATTACTATGCAAAACAAAACGTGGCTTTAATGCGCTCGACTCCAGGTTCGAGACTTGGCTGGGGACGTTGTGTCATGTTCTTGAGCAAGACACCTCTCTCACAGTGCTTGTCTCCCGACCAGATGTATAACGGGGAACCGGCACATTTCATGCTATTTCATTTTGAAATAGCTCAAATTTTCGTTAAAATTAAGTAATTTCAGCAGCGCCTCAAAAACCGCTCGGAAAATAACCCAGGCTAACTTTGATACTTGAAGGCAAAATTTGAAGAATTTTGGAGTTACGACACATATCGAAAAATATCTCTGGATTATAATCCGAGATTGGAAGTGTCACCTGGGTAAACAAAGAGATTTTTTCAACGTTTCAAGTAGTTTTGTTCTTCGAATGACTCTCAGTTATAACCTGCTTTGTCTTTCAGGAAAAAGTACAAAGAAGCTTTGGTTACGTTCTCATTTACACGCTAGCACAGAGTAAGTGTAGATTTTTGATTTTCAACCCTCTGCGTCCAGCCAATTTGGCGATTGTCGGGGCAAAGTTCGTTTTTTCCTCACGATTTTCTCGAATTAAAAGCGTTTCACGATTGAGCAGGGATAAAAAAACTATATCAAATTTCGTACTTACCTTTAGTCCATTTTTGGAAGAAGAAAAAACAGAAAAATCAGTTTTTCTTCCTCCGTTTGTTTTACATTTTGTGAAATTCATTCTCAAAAAATTCTTGCAAAAACAGTCAAACATTTCCATGGAAAAAAGGAAAATAATTTACAATGCATGAAAAGAGAATTAGAGTTACTTACGTTGCATTGAGTCTTTGTAGTTTCGTCGAAATGCCAGACAACGGCGATCGATACACAAGACACAACCGAAATTAGGGGAACAAAACAGAGAAAGAAAGCCACGCGCTCCCAACGTATGGACACCAGAGGTGACTGAAAGCGATCAGTGCCCATTGTTTAAAATGTCACAAGCGTTGATGCAAACCCGAATGCTAGCCTACTGCTATCATTGCAAAGTAGCTGTATGGTTCTCTCCCAGGCCTTCACGGTCTATGTGTGAATGGACCTCTTTAGCTTGGGCGGTTTGTTTTCCCATTCCAGACCACGTGATATTCTCTAGAGGTTTGTTCTTTATCCATCTAAAAATTATTCATTCATATATTTACACGCGATTTGGCGTTCCCAAGGCAACGTGGCGGCCGTAAAACAACAGAAACATCTGTCGTTTGCTTTTAAAACGATATTTTAAATGCCGCACAACACAAAAGCACGGAAATTCAATTGCGTTCCATTAAAAAAAGAACCTTGTCGAGCTACAACTTTTAAAACGTCTAGCTCTTTTTAGAGGGCTTTGCCCAGATTGAAAATGAAAACGCGTCAGTCTTGAAAACGCGCGAGTCTGCGCGCGAGGTTCACGCGAATCTTTGTCCCCAAGTCCCTCCCCGTCAGATATTGGACATAAAAGAATAGAACAAGATGGCGGATCAATCGAAGGTAACTGAACAAAATGCGGTCCCGTGCGGTACCGTAGGTTTTGATTGGCAAGAAAGAAATATCATATATGATAATATACCAGGACGGAGGGTGACACACCCTTAAAGCCCCCGAGGCACCAATCTAGCTGGGTTTTCCCGGAAGAATTTCTGGCTAAGCCTTTCTCTGGAGGCACACAAAAGGCTTTGTAGCGTAGGTTACACCAGTGTTAGTACAAACACTCTCTTCACCTTGATGTTGTTTTTATATAGGGGACAAGTGATGGCGTGCCAGGAGATATCAGTTTTAACAACCAGGTGTTTGACTTGAGCTTTCATCCAAACAGAGATGTTATTGCTGCTGGAGAAATCGACGGAAGAGTGACTGTGTAAGTAGCATGAGCCATATTAATAATATTATTTCGGCTTCATGTGTCCATTTTTACACATATTCTGCTGTCATCAGAAGTACATAATTTTAAAAGATCTAAAAAGGGAAAGACTGGAATTAAAAACTCAGGTTGTGTAGTCAACGCTGTGGTCTAAGAAAAATTACGAGAAGCGCAAAGGTTCTTAACCATGAAATCCTGGGTGCACATGCAGTGCTGAAGTTATGTGAAAAAAGTAAGTTTTTCCAGTCCCCCAAAGGTAAAAGTTAGTCACCTGTGGTGCTTTCAGAGCACAGCCCTGTCTAGTGCATTTCTGTGACTTTAATACATGGAACTTTCAACTCATTCAATAACTTATGATATCAAGATTTCAGGTAGTGTCTGGGTGTGCATAGTTTAAGTATAAGCTATATGTTAATCTATTTATTGTATCCATTTTGAAATCACTGGTGATCCTTGCAATCTTATTGGCTCTGGGCAGTCTGATTTATTCAAAAATCACACAGTCTATTTTTTGTTCTAATTCGCATTTTTTCCCAGCCAATGAGAAAGGAGCACTAAAACAAAACAACCAATAAGATTTCAAGGCTTGTTTAAAGTAACCAATCAAATTGCAACACAATTCTTTGTTAAAAATAAGTTTGTAACGCCTACTGCTGAAAAAAGGATGGTAAAAGCAAATCTGAATGAGAAAACAATACAACTCATTTATAGCCTTCCTTTCAAAGTCACCAAGGACACCAGACTTGCCATGTTTCAGTTTAAAATTATTCATCACATTCTGCCAACAAACGCAACACTTTTTAGAGATGCGCTTAAAGAATCCGATAAATGTCACCTATGCTCTGAAAGACAAACACTGATCCACCTTTTCGCAACCTGTCTGAAAGTTAAGAGCTTTTGGTCTCAGTTTACTTACTGGTGGATTTCCAAAAACTCTGAGCCAATGACTCTTGATGAAAACAGGATAATATATGGTGTTACCAATGGCTTCTCTCGTCGACTTGGTTTAAACCTCTGCTTGATTATTGCAAAACACTATATTTACACTGCCTTTAGAGAAGAAGAAGAAGAGTACTACTGGGAAGCTTTCATGGCCATCCTTGCAAGTAAACTTCAAATAGAGAAGCACAAATCTAAGAAACAGATAAAGTTGTAACAATAAATAGAATATCAAAAATGGATATAACAACAAACCGAAAAAAAAAAGGAGCCACATTACTGGCCATTGTATATATTAACTCTATTAGTTTAGAAAAAGGAACCTGTTCTCCGTCTTATTTTCTTTCTCGTACTTATTTCTTCTTGTACTTTTATCTCTTTTTTTTTTCGTAAGTTCTCACTTTTGTTTTTTTGTACTCCTATAATGACTTGTAAGTAAGTTATGTATTGTAATGTATTGTTATGTCATAGGTTATAAATAAAACATATTAAAAAAAAAAAATTGCAAGAATGTCAGTGTGATTTATTCACAAATTGCACTGCATTGTATGTTTGCTCTAAATGGTAACTTTTTCTGTTTTGCATCAAAAAAGAGGTGTATTTAAGCATCTACGTTTGAACTTTTTTAACAATCAAGCCACTGGATCAGTAACATACTGTATATCTACTGACCAAAATCCTGTATTCAGGCAATTAAATCAAATGCGTGATTTCAAAATGGATGTAATAAAGTGGCAAATGAACTTTGTGTCATGCAATTTTTGTCTGGAATCAGTGCCCTCCTTTGATTTTGAAATCACGCCTATGATATCAGACTAAATTGCATTCCATCTTGTTAAGGAATTTAGGATAGTCACTTATTTTTTTCATAGGGCTGGCACCTATTTTTTTGTTATTAACATCATAGGCACTCATACTCTGTTGCTGAAGGGAATCACCTGCTTCTAGACCTTCACCATCACAAGAAAGCTTGCAGAGCATTGTCCTTCTCATCAGATGGCTTGTGTAAGTAGTCACCTTTACTTTG